GGGGGCCACAAACTATCATCCAGCAGGACGCAAATGGCCCCCAAGCCGCATATTTGAAACCCCTGTGCTATAGGTTTCTTTGGGCATTGTTGGGAAAATATGTCCTGTGATTTAGGAAGGCACAATTTTCCTAACCAGCCTAGCCATAGGTCAGAATCCTCCGATGTCAGAGTGAGGTCACAATCTGGTCTGTATCTCTGCAAACTGAGAGGTAGTTAGGAGTGAGGTTGAGCCTTCATCTGATCAGGATGGATCTTCCTGTTAGGTCAAGTTGAGAGTCAAAGGTGGGCTTTTTTACCTGTTTACAGCTATGGTGTCTTAATGGATAGAGTGTCAGGCAGGAATTCGGGAGGCCCTGAGCAAGGAACCTAGAGGATTAAGGAGGAATTTAAAAATAATTTTGTTCTCAAAAGCTTCAAGGCCCCCTTGTCCTAATTGATAACTACAGTACCCACTTTCTTTAGAGATGTCCCTTAAATATTAATTCCTTATTTTCAATTAAGCTAATGATAGGGAAAATATATCCTGTGATTTAGGAAGGCTTTTGGTTCACACTATAGGTTTCTTTGCGTATTGTTGCGAAGAGTGGTTGTGATGCCAGAGGTTGGGAGTTAGATTTCCCACTGTGGCTTTAGGGAGGAAGAGCTGGCCTGTGTCCCTTTGGACAAGCCCATCACATGCCAAGCAGGGCTTGATAAAGTTGCTTTCTTTGACTGTACTTCCCACAATTTTCCTAACCAGCCTAGCCATAGGTCAGAATTCCCCGATGTCAGAATGAGGTCACAATCTGGTGTGTATCTCTGCAAACTGAGAAGCAGTTAGCAGTCAGTCTGAGCCTTGATCTGGTCAGGATGGATCTTCCTGTTTGGTCAAGTTGAGGCTCGAAGGCTAATAGATAACTACCCATTTTCTTTAAAGATGCTCCTGAAATTATTAATTCCTGATTTTCAATTAAGGTATAAATAGGGAAATATGTCCTGTGATTTAGTATGTCACACATCAGGTAACGAGTGATCCCCAAGGTTTGGGATCTGTTTCTTTGCTTTTCTCCTGGAAGATGGCTTTTTGTTCACAATATAGTTTTCTTTGGGTATTGTTGTGAAGAATGGTTGCGATGCCAGAGGTTGGGAGTTAGATTTCCCACTGTGCATTTAGGGAGGAAGAACTGGTCTATGTCCCTTTGTAAATGCTCATCACACGCCAAGCAGGGCTTGATAAAGTTGCTTTCTTTGATTGGAGCTCCCACAGTTTTCCTAACCAGTCTAGCCATAGGTCAGAATCCTCCGATGTCAGAATGAGGTCACAATCTGGTCTGTATCTTTGCAAACTGAGAGGCAGTTAGCAGTCAGGCTGAGCCTTCATCTAGTCAGGATGGATCTTCCTGTTAGGTCAAGTTGAGGGTTGAAGGTGGGCTTTGTGACCTGTTTACAGCTATGGTGTCATAGTGGATAGAGCGTCAGGCAGGAATTCAGGAGGCCCTGAGCGGGGAACCTAGAGGAATAAGGAGGACCTTAAATATAACTTTGTTCAGAAAAGCTTCAATGCCCCTAGCTTCAAGGGCCCCTTGTACTAATAGATAGCTACCCACTTTTTTAAAAGATGTTCCTGAAATTATTAATTCCTGATTTTCAATTAAGCTATAGATGGGGAAATATGTCCTGTGATTTTGTATGTCACACATCAGGTAACGAGTGATCCCCAGGGTTTGGGATCTGTTTCTTTGCCTTTCTCCTGGAAGAAGGCTTTTGGTTCACACTATAGGTTTCTTTGGGTATTGTTGTGAAGAGTGGTTGTGATGCCAGAGTTCTGGAGTTAGATTTCCTACTGTGGCTTTAGGGAGGAAGAGCTGGCCTGTGTCCCTTTGGGCAAGCTCATCACATGCCAAGCAGGGCTTGATAAAGTTGCTTTCTTTGACTGTACTTCCCACAATTTTCCTAACCAGCCTAGCCATAGGTCAGAATTCTCTGATGTCAGAATGAGGTCACAATCTGGTCTGTATCTCTGCAAGCTGAGAGGCAGTTAACAGTCAGGCTGAGCCTTCATCTGGTCAGGATGGATCCTCCTGTTACGTGAAGTTGAGGGTTGAAGGTGGGCTTTATGACCTGTTTCCAGCTATGGTGTCTTAGTAGATAGAGCGTCAGGCAGGAATTCAGGAGGCCCTGAGCGGGGAACCTAGAGGAGTAAGGAGGACTTCAAAAATAACTTTCTTCTGAAAAGCTTCAAGGGCCCCTTATACTAATAGATAACTACCCATTTTCTTTATAGATGCTCCTGAAATTATTAATTCCTGAATTTCAATAAGCTATTGATAGGGAAAATATGTCCTGTGATTTAGGATGTCACACATCAGCTAATCAGTGATCCCCAGGGTTTGGATTCTGTGTCTTTGCTTTTCTCCTGGAAGTAGGCTTTTGGGTCATGCTATATAGCAGGGTCTCATTCTAAATTTACCTGGGGGCCGCTGTAGGCAGAGTCTGGATGAGTCTGGGCCGCGTCAGATTTTCTGCCAAGCGGAGCAGGAGCCTAAGGAAGCCACCCAGGAGTTTCCTTAGCCTGTCTGGTGGTCCGAGCAGGAGTAGGTGCGCGTGCGCCCTCGTTGCCAGCCACCATCCCCTCTGGCTCCTTCTTCACTACCACCACCATCACCACCACCAGCAGCAGGACGAAGAAGGGAAGAAGGGAGAGAGTGCTGGCGACCGCTTAGTGGGGAGGACATGACGTAATTCTTTAAAAAAACGTCACAGAATCGCCTTACCAAAGAGAAAAGCCCCGATCGCTACCCGTGAAATTAAACAGAATGGGGTGGGCCTCACCACAGGTGCGTGCACACACATACACATACACATACACACAGAGAGAGAGAGAGAGAGAGAGAGAGAGAGAGGGGTCTGGCAACCTTACTCTGAGGGCCTCCCTCAAATAAAAGGCACACTCAGCAGCAGCAGCTACCCCCACCATGACTGAGGAGCAAACTTTGCGAGGCAAGCCTAGGCAGCCTCCAGAGCTGAGGCGGCTGAAGGAGGATGATGATGAAGCACTGCTGGGCACTGAGGTGGCCGTTGGCTGGCCCGTTGGGGGTGCCAAGAGAGAAAGAGAGCCACTTCCCTGGAAGAGGTTGCAGCGGCGGCAGCCGCTGTTGGCGGCTTGGAAGCGCTCTTCTTCGAAGATGGGAGCGAGCTCTGCTCTCAGGCATCACTCGGCGGTGGCTCAGGCGCTCAGGGAAAAAGGCCAGCAGTGCGCCTCGCCTCCATCCAGAACTGCAGCCTGTCAGCTGGCAGACAGGCAGGCTGGCTGGCAGGCTGCAGTTCCGGATGGCGGGTGCAAGAGGCACTGTCTTGGGGGAGAGGCAGCAAGCGAGATGAGACGAAGCTTTTTTTGACTCTTGACAGCAGAGGACATGTGGGTGCTTCGAGGGGCAGGCAAGTCGGGGGCTACAAACTATCTGGCGGGCCGCAAATGGCCCCCGGGCCGCATGTTTGAGACCCCTGCTTAAGAGCCTGTGTCAAAACTATCTAAAAGACTGTATCTCCCTTTATGAGCCTACTTGGGTCTCAAGATCATCAAGAGGGGCCTTCCTCTCAGTCCCACCACCTTCACGGGTGCGCCTGATGGGGACTCAAGAGACGGCTTTCTCTGTTGCTGCTCCCAGACTTTGGAACTCCCTCCCACAGGAGGCTAGGCTGGCCCCATCCTTACTGTCCTTCTGCAAGCATGTGACCTTTCTTTTCAGGCAAGCTTTCCCCGAGTGACTGGCTGCCTGAGTGGTTTTTAAATGGATCATTCCATTCTGTTTTACTTGTTTTTTTATCTTGCTCTAAGTATGAGTTTTAATATATTTATTTCTCTCTAAGACAGTGATTCCTAACGCTGGGTCCCCAGATGTTTTTGGACTAAAACTCACAGATACCTTCAACACAGGGCAATTGGCAAACAATGTGGATTTCTATGCATAAATTTATACTAAGGACCTCAATTCAACCAGCACAAACAAAATTCTTTTTTTTTCTGGTTATTTCCTGAGAAGCATTTGGATAATATTTTAAAGTTATGCTGATGAAAAGAAAAAAGACAGAATAATCTCACACTGCATTTGAACCCCTCCCCCCAAAATCCTCAAGAAATTGGTCCCAACCATTTTGCTTTGCACACAATTTATTTCAATCATTTTCCAAATGTTTATTTTTGTTGCCAAAAAAGGAGTGTTTACGTATGGAGGGGGAAAAAAAAGAACAAATTGTCATCATAAATCAGTGGATTCTGCAACATTCTTAAAACAAATGCTTCATACCTCTGAATTCTAAGGAGACACTGCCTTTCAAAGAACAATCTCTCTTTTTAAAACAAATGTTTGGAAGTCATGAAATATTAAAGGCCTTGAGATCCATTCAACAGATTTCACAAGGATGGTGGGAAGTGTGTACTTAGCAACATTGTTTGACAAAGGAGTCGTTTTCCACCTCAGGAGCCCACAAGGGCAGTAAGAAGCATCTTCGGGTCTCTCTGTGTGTGGGTCCGTGATTGTGGCTGTTTCACACGTGCATGCTCTTTACAGGATGACTGCAACATTAAAACAATAACTGGCAAGTTGGCCGCTGTCAAGATCAAGCGCCATAAATCTACCTTTCATATCAGTCTACATCATTTGAAAATGAATGACTCTACAGTAATTTAATCAGTCTAAATCATATTAAAAACCCAAAGGCTTATGTTAACTCTGATCAACTTGTCTCCCTAAGATCAATAAGACTTAAGGGCAGCTAGCTGGAACTGAATGAGGCCTTCCAAGGGGGTTAATTCAAACCATCAGCTACCTGTCATAAAGTACTGAATAATCCAGGGATGAGGGACCAAGTGATGCATATGAGCACAAGGCCTGCCCCTTAATTTGCTTGTTGAGTGTCTTTAACCAATGGTGACACTCTGCTCTGCCCACTCTCTACCTTCCTGTTTGTTTGCACGGCTGATAGAGCAATCATGGACAGCTCATTCTGCCCTAGCAAGGTGGCATCAAACTCTCTTGTGCCCAAATAGTCCTCCTTCTCAAATTTTTCTTTTTGTATTATATAGAACAATCAGAATGGGAATACTGAAAACTCTTGTGCAGACACATCACATGTCAGAACCATATGCTTTCCATTAAGGAGGAGAACTAGCTTTCTCCGTTTGAATTCCTCGCTATATCGTCTGTCAATGGGAATCACATGGTGAATGGCAGGGTTACTTCCAAAACGAAGAGCTGCACCGGACAATAGCTACATGTGGTTCCATTTACAGATGTCACTAGTAACTCTGTGGGTCTCATTCATGCACAGTGCAACGTAAGTAACATATAAACCAAACCAAAGTCATGGAAGGGAACAGATCCATGGTGGTATCTGGGAAAACATGTCACAAAATCAGGCCTAGAGAGTGGCAGGGCTAGTCTCGTGGGCACTGCAGTACAAGAACAGTCCCTCACAGAATTTCATCACACTTTAATCTCTAGGCTGTGGTGCCAAGAAGAAAGAACAAATATACAGCAGGAGAGTAGATCTGATTTCATGCCATTTCCCAGGCCCACCTATCCCACATCGTTGCTGCCTGTTCCTCAACTTGGCTGCTCGTGAGACTACTGTTTTTATGAGCTTGGCCTGCAACCCAGCAATGCTCCTCTGAAGTCCATAAAACAGAGGTAGATGCTCCCCAACAAGATCTAAGAGTGAGGCATGAGCACCATAATTCACACCACAATTACCCTCCCTCCCTGGTTCCTTTCTTGCCACTTTCCATCTGAGAGGTGTACTGGTAGCCTGAATTTCTAACTACTTGAGAATTTCAGACAATCCTCCCACACCACCGGCACTAAAGAGGTGCTGCTGAATTCCAAAGTTGGCTTCCTAAGCACAAAACTAGTTTTCCCTCTCCCGTGTCCTTCAGACAATGCTCTGCCTGCCAACATCCACATTGTACCCTGATGAACTGGAGCAGCTCTGGCTGAAATCAATGAAAATCCCATCGGAATCGGAGTCAATGGACTCCAAAATCTGATCCACGATGTTCTCAGGGCTGGCTGTCGGAGCAATAGCAATCAGGTCTGAGTCCCTGCCCAGCTCAAATGCTCTGTTCTGCTCCTCTCTTGGGTAGAAGAGTCCTTTAGGTTGCTCCGATGGATTGAGGTTGCCAGTGCACTGGGCAGACCCAGCAGAGAGACGCTCCGGATCTCCCGACTGGGAGTTCTTCGTGGTGGCCATGGAGCTCTTAGAACCATTGTCTGTGATGGTCGTGAGGTTGGAGTAGCCCTCTGTCTCCAAGCAGGAAGTCATTTCAGAGACCGAGTGCCTTCGGATGCCTGTGCTGTTGGGGGCTGCACCCTCCGTTTCATACTCAGCAACAGGGGTCAGCAAGGGGTTGTTGTAACTTTTGGATCTCACTACAGGGTTCTTGGCAAGGATGTCCCCGGATTTGGAGCGACGGAAGAAGCGCTTTTCTGTTGCAAAACACAGAAGATAAAATTTTCACACACATCAGAGGGTCACCGGGTCTACTATTAGGAAAGGGAAACCATAAAAAATATATCATGCAAGCCTTAAGTCAGTCAGCCTCTCTTTTACTGAGAGAATTCTCGCACTTCTTTAGCTTTTCAAATTTACTGCTTCAATCAAATGGGCTTCCCTGAAGCAACTTGCGTAGAGCTCCCAATGCTTACTGGAATTTGTTTTCAGACTAGAGCAGTAGGTGGCACCAGCTTAATTCTGTAACTTACACAGAAGTCAGTGCTAAGTATTTCTGTTTGGGAAATGACAGTGTTCTACCCAGTTTCTGCTGAGCAGAATGTCCCACCAGCATGGAAACAAGTCGTGCAAGCTGTTCTGTTGTTCATGTGGAAAGCTGGTTCTCCTCACAGAGGAGTTGCCAATTGCAACAGCAACATCGGCACAAGCGGCATGACACTGCACTATACGCTGGTTGGAGTTTCTACTCAGTGGAAATGGAAATAGGATCACAATTATAACACAGGGTCCATATACTATTGAGCTTCTAGCAAATGCCAAGTTCCAGTAATGTGGGATTCTGTTGCTGGCACAAGTGGTGACTCCCAGAAGAAATCCTTTTCATTTGCACAACAGTACGTGTAGGGACGTGGTGGCGTTGTGGGCTAAACCACAGAAGCCTTTGTGTGCAGCAGGGTCAGAAGACCAGCAGTCGTAAGATCGAATCCACGCAACGGAGTGAGCTCCCATCGCTTTGTCCCAGCTCCTCACCAACCTAGCAGTTCGAAAGCATGTAAATGCGAGTAGATAAATAGGGACCACCTTGGGGAGAAGGTAAAATGGCGTTCCCTAGTCACGCTGGCCACGTGACAACGGAAAACTGTCTTCAGACAGACACTGGCTCTATGGCTTGAAAAGCGGGATGAGCGCCGCCCCTTAAAGTCAGACACGACTGGACTGAAAATGTCAAGGGGAACCTTTACCTTTAAGTGTTGTGCAAATGCTATGATCCCATATTTGCATGCTGGGATTTCCCAGCTCAACAGGATACCAGTCATGGAAATAATCATGGAGGCTTTCTCCACCAGCCAGCTTTCCACATTTCTGACAGCAGTGAAAATCTCTTGGGGGAAAGGAAGTGCCTTTCATCTCTCCTTCTACTTAGGCTAATCAGCTGTGCAGACTTTGCAGTTCATGTCGTTCTCCTCTACAGACCACAAGCTTTCTGTAGGGGCAGAACTGGATTTGAAGGTGCTCTCTGCCATTTATTCTTAGGTCCTGTTCAGCATGAAAGTCTCTAGCTCTACTTTCCTACTCCACTGTAAGAGTGCAAATTTTGTAGGTGACCAACAGGAACTTAGTAAATTACACTGATCCCATCTCAGTTCCAGGATTAAGTTCACCAAGTGAGATTTGACAATTGCATTTTCTACTTATTATGAATCAGCCGCCCATTTTACCAAGAAAGAACAACTATTCCTCAGAATGCTAAAGAATGCAAATCCCCACCTCTGGTCAGCTAAGTGAAATCCTGGATAACACTGGACTTTGGGCATTTAACACTGGAGATTTAAACAGGTGGCTATCCTGAGCATACCCTGTTTCCCTGAAAATAAGCCCTAGTATGATTTTTCAGGATGCTCGTAATATAAGCCCTACCCCCAAAATAAGCCCCAGTTAAGTGAAACCCTGCCCTCCACCATTGTGCAGCAACCAGAAGAAAATGACATAACTGTAAAATAAAACATCCCTTGAAATATAAGCCCTAATGCATTTTTGGAGGAAAAATTAATATAAGACCCTGTCTTATTTTGGGGGGAAACACAGTAGTTTTTGTGATCTCATCTTAAAGATGCTCAGACTTTATAGATGGTCCATTTTCAGCAAGCAAGCATTCCTAACTGAATTTAGTACTATGCCTATTATGTACACTTTCCCATGCCTTAGTATATAGCTGGAATAAATGTTACCTAAAATGCATGAAGAGTGTGTAATAGGCCCATCGCTGGAGTATAAGCCATATGTGCCCAGGTAGGGGGAAACAACTTTCTGTATCAATGCTTCTAGTTTTAAATAATCTTCAGTCACTCCTTTTGATTCATGAACACCCTGAAAAATAGCAAAAAGCAATGTATAAACACTAACGGTCAAGGTAAAACAGATGGCAGATGCTTATTGGGGGGAGAGGGGTTTGAGGAGAGATCCTACATCCTGCCAAATCCATTGAGAGCCACACCCTGCCACTGCAGCTGGCTAATGGACTGCCAAAGTTCATTAGCCCAAAACTGCACATAATTTCCCTTGAAAAAGTGAAATATACAAGGGGAAAATGCCCCATTTTAAGGCAAGAACTGCCCTTCTTGGGAGGCTATGAGGAGCATGATTCTGCTATAACACATGGTGCATGCTTCTTGGACAGCTTGTTTCCAAAGGAAATTCGAGACATTTTTGGTGGTAAAGCAGCAAATTCAGCCTTGGCAGCAAATCTGGGAATTCCAGCCCACAGACCCATACTTTCAGACACACCCATATTTTGCTCACCTGGAAAAATGACTAGCTTCCTGTTTAAAAAAAGGGAAGCTACCCCAGTGGGTGGCGCTGTGTGCTAAACCGCAGAAGCCTTTCTGTGCTGCAAGGTCAGAAGACCAGCAGTTGTAAGACTGAATCCACACGACGGAGTGAGCTCCCGTCGCTTTGTCCCAGCTCCTCACCAACCTAGCAGTTTGAAAGCATGTAAATGCAAGTAGATAAATATGTACCACCTCAGTGGAAAGGTAAACAGTGTTCCGTCTATAGCCGCGCTGGCCACATGACAACGGAAACTGTCTTGGGACAAGCGCTGGCTCTACGGCTTGGAAACGGGGATGAGCACCGCCCCCTGGAGTCGAACATGACAAAAATTGTCAAGGGGAACCTTTACCTTTAACCCATTGCTATCTGGGAGTCCTAGGGCTTCCTGGGAGCTGTAGTCTCCCTGCCCCTCCATAGAGGAGTGAAATTCAGGTGTGAAATTCAGGGGTGGGTCCATGTGCTGAAACTCTTAAGAATTCTGTTACAGTCCAAAACATCTGAACGTAACATCCCTAGTTGGCAGCTGGAGAAATGATGGGGTCATCAAATGTTCCTTGCATTGCCCTCCCTGACATAAAACAAAAGTGGGTTCACTTTGGCTGCCTATCAATTACAGATGTGAGGCAGGCATGAAATCTCTCATTACCTGTGTGAGGTATTGCAGGGCTGAAACCAGGAGCCCATGGATTCTAGCTTGGCTCCCTGGAAAGAGGAAATGCCAGCAGTTCACAACAGCCCAGCCTCCCCGCAGGATGTGGATAGCAGTGACCCATACCCCTGCTCTTACTCCATTACACAGACCGCACACCCTATTGCCACAGAGTCTACATGCCACTTGCATGCCCAAACAACTGGTGATAAGCATCTCTCCAGATACTGGCCACCCAGTGGCTCTGGAGCACTTGCCCACTCTTAAGCTTGAGCATAGACACTGGACCTACTTTCTTCCCTCTTCTAAGAGCTGGGCATTTTCTCTGCCAGCCCCTTCCAAAGACAGAATTTACGTTAAATGTACTGGATGATTTAGACTATTATCAAAGCACTTGTTGGCAATACGGCTCAGACTCTGAGGTTACCTACTTCATATGGAGGAATAATCATTTATTGCAGAGTCCCTTCAGCTAGGTAAATGTCGCCTCCAGATAAACTCTGCATTTCCAATGTGAAACAGAGCCCCCAAATCCCACACATTTACACAGCAATGGTCACTCATAGATATGCTGCATTACTGCCATTGGCCACCAGGTGGCATTACAGTGCAACTATTGTACAGATCATAGCCCAAAAGACAGGACAGGATTGTTGTCTTAATTTATGATGCTTTAAAAGTGTACGTGTGCGTAGGAGACTGCTGCCCTCCAAACGTTATTGGATGGCAACTTCCATACTGTTCTAGCCATTCCTACCAAAGCATATGCCAAATACAATGTTGCTTGGTCTAGAGCAGCGATGGTGACACACATGCCACAGCTGGCACACAGAACAGTCTCTGTGGGCACGTGAGCCATAAGTAGCCATAGAGAAATACTTACCCATCCTCTTATCCCGGATTTTGGCACTCCCCTTTGCTGGTGCAGTGGTCCATGGGGGATTGGAGGACCGGTAACTATTTCTTTGTTAATACCGCCCTTAGGGGGGAAATAAACCCAAGCATATAACCCTTGCAGTGCAAGAGCAGTTGTTTTTTTTTCTAAACTAAAACCTGAAATGGGTTGCTGTTCCCTAAAACATACGCCAAATGGCACCTGTTAGTCTATGCACAGGACTCTTTGTTGTCACACTCCTGAAATCTTTTTTGCAGTGATAAGGTACAATAGAGAACAGGCTGACTGTTGTGTTTCCTTTATATATGTAGCAACACATTAAGTGAATCATTGCCTAGTCTCTAATGGGCACCCTTGAAAGACGGAAAATCAGACACAACTCTTAATGTGACATACATGTAATATATAATAAATAAACTTGTGTACACTTTTGTCTGAAGTCCAACGTTTCATTAAGAAGGCTTGTGTGCTCTTCAGAGGTCCTACTCTTGTGCTTTTAACAACAGGCCCTACACCACTCAAAACATAATCTAATTATTAAATCAAATTATTTTCATGACCTGGAATGCTAAGCCTCAATATCTCTAAAGCATGCCTTCCTAGTTGCCTCTTTTTTGTCTAGTCTGTCAAAGCCTGCCTCATCAGTCTTCTAGACTAATATTAATCAAGCTCTTGTAAACTGCTTTAAAACAAGGTGGGAAGCTTCCAGAGGCTTGGGAAGCAGAAATACCCACCCCTGTATGTTGGAAGCAGAAATACCCACCCCTGTATCCCATTCCTCGTCTACACCAAATTTTCTTAGAAATATTTTTTCCTGAAAAAAAAAATCCCCTCACTTCCTCTAGTGCAGAGGTCCCAAAATCCCACTCCACTCCACGGCCCGGTACCAGTCCGTGGCCTGAGCTGGACTGGGCCATGGAGAGAGACCTCCCCCCCAGCACTCCCCCCTGCACAGCCCGTTTGCGCCCACGTGCAACCTCTTTTATTTATTTATTTATTTATCTATTTATTGATTTATTGATTGATTTATTGATTTGTATCCCGCCTATCTGGTTGAAACAACCACTCTAACCTTGCCCGCATGAGCGCTGCACTGTCCTTTGTGCATGCACATGAGTTTGCCCGCACCCGCGAGCGCTGCACTGCCCTTTGTGCATGCACATGAGTTTGCCCACACCCACGAGTGCACACTCCTTCGCGCATGTGCACAAGAGCAAGGGGGTGCCCCGCCTTCCCCAGCCGGTCTGCAGGGCTAAAAAGTTTGGGGACCGCTGCTCTAGTGGCATTTTAAAAAACATTCTAAGGAACTCCTCAAATACTTCCTAGAAGGCATATAGAGTATTGGAACAAATAAAATGGGCTGGGGTCACATATGAGCCACGTGGCCTTCGGAGGTCTGCATGTGGCCATGGGCACTTTGCCTACACCAAATTTAAAAGAAAATTCTCACTGCTTCTTCATCTTTGAGCTTTAATAGCTGAGTCTCGTTGCTAATTATGAAGAAATCATACAGAGCATGGGCTGCGGGGGTGGGGGAGAGACTAAAGCACTAGTGATATGAAAAGAACTAGTCTTGTTTGCATTTCAGTGGCAAATTAACAATTTGCACTTCTTTAACCTGATCCTGTAGGAAAAATCACAGAGCACAGAATTCTAGAATGGTTAGCACACATGGCCAGTGTTAGCAGGGAGTGGGTGGGGAGGGTGAGAGAGCAAGAGGGAAAGAGAGGGGGTGGACGGAGGCACTGTATGGTTTGCTGGTCAAAACAGGGAAAACTCCATTTCAGGCTCCAACAGAAAAAGGTTTCAGTTGCAGAAGTGGAAGAAGGGCTCTTGTAGCCAGCAGGGAAGCTTTCTGAGGACAACACGTTGCTGTACATCTTACAAAGCGCACACAGTAACAAGTGGTTGGGTAGGCGTCTTAATTCTCACTCCACTTAGCCTGCTATCTAAATTGGATGTTCATTCACACTGCAAATAGCTCTCCTCAGCTTTTTCTTCTGCATTCATAATGATCGGATTTTCACAAAACTAGTGGAGACAGGCTCAGAGTTGATTGCAAACCTCTGACTTTTTGATCTGCTCTTTAATGAACACCTCAATCTGCAGCCATGCAGAGAGAGCCTGCTTTGAAGAAGAAACGACAACCCTTCATCAAACCGGATCTAATTCCAACTTGAAAAATTCAGGCTTCCTTGAGAATATAGAATACCCTCCCATTTAATTTCTCTCAAGGGCTCTTTCACAGAATACTTCTCAAGCTTCAAGAATAAAAACTGCATGGTTCATATACACAGAGAGGTGCTCTGAATATTTTTGGCTGAAAACCAGTGAAGACTGCATTGACAATAATCGTAGCAGTTGGCCTCCTGAATCCATGGGTAAGCTCTTGTTCTACAAGTTTGTTCTCAAGAGTTTCCCTTCAGGAAAACTGTCAATTACATTCTCACATCTTTATCTGCTAATTTGCTGACAGATAAGACAGGCATTTATTTTTAACCTTCAGGAAACAGACTCATAAAATGGTAACGACGGCACGCAGGACAATATTCTGTAAATCCACCTGGATGAGGATGGCACAAACTCATTGGCATTAATTCAGTTTTGTGAGTAAACTCTTGTTTGGTTTCCCATGGCAAGCGGGAGTCACCTTCAAGTGATCAAGGAAGGAAGCTGCTTTTGTGTATGTATATATTGCAGAAGGGCTAAAATGGAGTTATGTGACCAAAAGTAAAGAAAGAAAAAAGAAAGAAAAAAAAGGAAAAAAAAAGATGGGCTAGTATATTTTGTGAACCTATCTGGAATGCTGCATCATCTCAAGCAACGACTGAATTCAAGCTGCAATCTCAAGCCTGCCTCAGGAAAAGAAAGATGCTATGGAGCTGTTGTCTTGAAGACATCTGTATTCCCCACTGCTAAAGAGGTGTATGGGGCTGTCAAGTTGGGGAAAAAGGAACTAAATAAAAGACAACAATCTGTACATAGCTTTTGAAA